TAGAGTTTAGTTTTATTAAGTTTACATTAAGTTGACATGTGGGTAATGTTTATGATAAATTTAAATCAGAGTCTAGTTATTATGATGGTCACCCCAGTTCAGAACTAGATGACAGATGGGCATACAAGAAGCACTTTAAGTGTCAAATTGACATGTTTGGAGTCTTAACTCAAGAATTATGTCCAATTATGGATAATGGCTCATGTTTCTTCAAGCTTAGGGTGGGAATTGGTTCCCAGTGGGTTTCAGTTTTAGCATTATGAGCATGTGCTCAGGGAGGGTAAATTGCATGTGTGAGGATGACAACATCCAGAGGCAGAGATGGGGTTGAGAGAAGGAATGCCACAACACTGACTTCTTGGGTGAAGATAACCACAGTGCCCCAAGCCTGAGACCACACTGGACCTTTCAGACCCACTGCTCTTGCAACTTTCATCCCCCCCACCCCTCAAGTTCACAATTTGGACAGATTGCCTTTCTGAGTCAGTTACATGCAAATGGGCTCCAGGCTCTGCATTCTGCCTGGGAAGCCCTTCCATGTGGGACAGGATGGACCCGGAGTTACAGAAGGCATTTCCAAGGGGACACGGAGCATGGCCAGAAACAGATGTCAGCTCCTGCCTGGTCCACTGTTCAGTTCTCCAGATTGTAACTGAGATGAGGCTAATTCTGATTTCCCATTTAAACCTCTTGAACACCACTTACTAAGACAGGCCATAAAGACAACAGCAGTTTGGGTGGGGAAGATGGGAGTACTTCCCCTGTGATGTGGGTGGGCTTTAGGGAAGAGGCATTCCATGGGTGAAGGACAACACACACAAGGGCATGGAGGTCAGATGAGCTGTGCAGCAGACTAGGGAAACCTCTTAACTGCCCTGAGAGGGAAAGAAGGGGAAGGAGGTTTGAGGATGGAGCATCTGGGAATGGGAGTACAGCACATGGGTTGATTTTGGAATTTATTCAAGTAGTGGATTTTGGAGTTTATTCAAGAGGCAATAGGGAACCATGGAAAGTTCATATGGTAAGAATTCCTTCTTTCTTTTTTTTTTTTTTTTTTTTTTTTACTGCAACGTAGTACTCCATTGTAGAGATGTACCACAGGTTTTTAATCCACTCATCTGCTGATGGGTACTTAGGCTGTTTCCAAATCTTAGCTATGGTAAACTGTGCTGCTGTGAACATAGGGGTGCTTACATATATCCTTCCTGATTGGTGCTTCTATTTTCTTGGGATACATTCCTAGAAGTGGGATCACTGGGTCAAATGGAGTTCCATTTTTTTTACCATTTACAACAGCATGGATGGATCTGGAGAACATTATGATAAGCAAAATAAACCAGTCAGAGAAAGATAAATATCATATGATCTCACTCATTTGTGGACTATGATAAACAACATAAATTGATGAACAAAAACAGACCCAGAGACAGAGAAGCATCAATCAGACCGTCCAAACTCAAAGGGAAGGTATGGGAGGGTGGAGGCAAGGAGGAGAAATTAACCAAAGGTCTTGTATGTATGCATATAAGCCTAAACAGTGGACACAGATACCAGGGGAGTGAGGGCATGAGTGGGGGTGGGGGAGCAATGGGGGGGATAAAGACATATATGTAATATCTTAATCAATAAAAAAAATAAAAGGAAGTTCATATGTTCAAAATCAGCCTTCACGCTTGTTCTAACACTGTCAGGCAAAGCCATTCCCACTCACAATGCTACACACAGACACTTTCCCTTATGCTGCAGTGCATACACAGCAACACCCCGCCAACACAGACCCAGTCCCCTGTCAGAAACCCTCGTGCACAGAGAAATGCTCTCATAGGGACAGCCACCCACACAGACACAGCTGCACACATAGACACTTGCTCAAGCTCATGGATGTATTTGGTTGTAGTGACATGATCACTCTCTCTACACCAAATATACAATTTTACAGTTGCATGCACAGTCATACACACACACACACACACACACACACACACAGTCACAGTCATACACATTGCCACTGTCATCAGAGGCACAATCCTGCCCACATTCCTACACTTCCTATAAGTCAGCAAAAGCTGAGGGACAGGAGGAGGGTTGGCCCCAGAAGCTACTGCTATAGACCCTGGTCTCCAATCCCTCTACTTAGGGCGGTGGTTCCCAACAGGGGTCACAAGCCCCCGATGGCGGCCAATTTGATTTTTAAGGGGGGCAACTTGAGAATGAGTTATTAACAGTGAATTTTTTAATTTCTTATGGTTATAGGGGCCTCATATACAGTATATAAGCATACTGTATATTGTGACATTTATGCATTTCAGTTCTCTATTATTCGTTTTGAAACTTTATTTGCTAACTTTTCATATCACTTCATATTATTTTTTAACAACTTCTTGGTGATTTCTTTCTCAGTACTTCAACTGTCCTTTTGTTCTTTTATTTTTCCCTTTCATGGATGCCATTTTCTTTGGAAGCTTGTCTAGACCCAGTGAATGGCTTTTTAGGCTTCCTCTATATGAACAGTTCACTTTCTGAATAACAAGAATTATATGTCACGGAGGTCGGGGGGGGGGCATTAGAATTTTAGAGATGCTTGGGGGGGGGGGGGGAATTGGCCTAAAAAAGGTCAGGAACTAGTGACTAGGGTTAAGCCTAACACTCACTCTGGACTTCACAAAGAGTCAGTCTGACATTCTCTCTCTCGACTTCACAGCCTCATCATGTATTGGTCTCTTAAATGTGCTGCTTACAAATCCCTGAGTTGTAAGCAGCACCAATCACCCTCTCCCCCATCAAATTGGGTCCCCGAGATAACAGCCCAGCTGCCTCCTGCCATAGGGGCGAAGGCCAGAGGAAGGGGGCTGTTGCCTCTGCCCTGAAGTTAAGGTGCTCCCAGGTCCTCGAACCCATAAGGGTGGCCAATAACTCCCTCCTTGGACCCTCCAGCGACAGGCTACACCTGCCCCCAGCTGCTGTCACCTCCTGTGATGTGGAAAGGCCATTGAATACACTTGGAGCCAGGGGCCAGGCTGGAGACTCTGCAGATCTGTCTCCCTCTTCTGGCTGAGAGCAGGAGTCATACGTGTGAGTGTGAGAGTGTGTGCTGTTTGTGTGAGGCTGCGACTGTGTAATACCATCACAGTGATGCCTTTGAGGGAATAGGACTGTGTGCATACAGCTGTGCCTCCCTCTAGGTGGCACTTTTCTGTTGTGATCCATCATGAGCCTATGTGAGGGTAGCCATGCGAGTGAAGGTGCAAGGTTGTGGGCCCCCGAGGCTTTACACAAAGATGTGATTTTGTGACCAGTGAGGGGATTGGGCATCACTAGTAGGCATGAATCAGTGTGGGGAGAGTGTTGAACAGTCTAAGTGGTCACTGAAAGCATGAATGTGCATGACAGGTCTCAGTAGCTGTCATGGTGCTGTGAGCTTCCTTGAACAGGGGTATGTGAATGATCGTCACCCTCTGACCTCTGGGATATTTCGTGTTCGCAGTTGACCATCTGATTATGTGCATGATCTGGGTCTATGGGTCTATGGTTATGCTGTCTGCTTATTTAGGGGTGAATGAATGTACTGGGTCCACATTTCCATATTTGACTGCTAGTGCCCGTGTATTTGCAGAGATCAGCTTGAGACTGCACAGGTTTGCATGCCCACATGGATGTGTTTGTGATTACATAGAATGTCCTGCAAACAGCTCAGGGATTTGAATGTTTCTTGGAACCAATTTAGACACAGGTCAGAGCAGGTCCAGTTTCCAAAGCCATTTTATAAGCAGGCTTCCCCCATGCATCCTACCCACTCATCCCGATCCTCTTCCCTCCTGGAAGGTAGAGCAGAATTGGGAATTTCAGAAAAGATGTTCTACTGAGAGCCAAAGTCAGAGGATTCTTCTTACCCAATGGAGGCAGAAAAGGATTCTAGAGTAGGGAGAGCATTTATATTTTTAATAGAGAAGGATATGGGAAGAAATTAGATTATTCACCTGTAGAGATAGCCTTATCATAGCCTTCAGAAAAAATCAGTGTCTTAAAACCCCTCTCCTTTTAAGAACCTCTGTTGGAGAATTATCCAAGATTTATGCAATGAGACCCAGACAGGGGGAAAAAAATGGAGGCATTGAAATAAGGTGCCTTGATACCTAGGGTGCTGTTCTCAGAATGTCCACAGGAGTGCGCTATTGCAACACCTGCCTTCAAAGGCATTTCAGACTCCTAGAAATGTTTCCATACTAAAAAGTTTAAAGACAAAAATATGAAAAACCTCTTTGCAAAAATCAAGTTCAAGCAATCCTGAGACTCTGACATTCTGAGTTTTTATGAGTATCAGAGAAACGTTCCTGCAGATTCAGTAACTCAGAAACTGGAGCTTTCAGACTCTTTCTGGTTAATGAGTCCTGTACACATACATTGGAATATTAAATATAACACAACAAATGTCATTGGATAATTTTGTGGGTGCCATCTTCAAAAGAAACCATTTCCAGAGAATGACAGGAAACACTAGGAGCAGGTCAAACTCTTCCTACAACTGGAAATCTTTCAGAACTTCAGAGAGGAGATAAAGTGACCCAGAAAAGGTACCAAGAATTATTTCTCCCCATCCCAGAAACAGGGAATGAGTCTTTTGATTAAGCAGCAGCTATGTTTAATTATGCAATTATTCTGGTCCTAATCTAAGAGAAACAATCCAAGTTTAAAAGGAGGGGAGCTCTTTCTTCCTCACTTATGTGAGAGGCAAGTAAAGGTAAATGAAGAACACAGAATCCTCAAGTTCAGGCCCTAGTAAAGGCCCCAAGGAGAGCATTTATATTTTTAATAGAGAAGGATATGGGAAGAAATTAGATTATTCACCTGTAGAGATAGCCTTATCATAGCCTTCAGAAAATCAGTGTCTTAAAACCCCAAGGAGAAGTCCCCACTCCTTTTAGCCCTATGTCCAAGGTCACAGACCTCGGATTTCTAAGCATCCTGCTGTAGAATAAGTCTGCCCCAGTGATGCCTTCTACCTATGTCTTTGGAGACTCTTTACTCTGTAACCCAGAGAGTTTGTTCTCCGCAGCCGCATCGTCAGCAGACTGGAAAATCCTCAGTATTTTGATCATACTTGCTCTAGATATACTGGATGAAAGGTCCTTGGGAGTCTCCTCTTGGGCTACTGGCACTTCCTCCATCTGAGTACCAAAGTCCTTGATAGTGGATTCTGTCTTGGATAATTCAAGACCTAAAAAGAGGACCCAGCCGTTAATTCTTATCTATAGCCTTCTCCCAGTTAGCTGTGACAAATGCAGGACAGAAAAGGAAGGACTTGGGTGTCTTCAGGACCCTTCTGAGGGATGAGGACTGTGTCATCCAGGGATGTGAACCATCCTGGTCACCACAGGTTCAGCTCTCCCTGTCCTCAGACACTTCCTAAGGTTCCTCCATGCTAGTAACTCACTCTGCTCACTGAAGAAGAAATCCAGGTCGTTCTCAGCAGAGCCCGTCTGTGGTCTCTCTGTGGAATCCTGAAATTCATGGAGTAAGTATGAGAAAACTTGGAACTTTAGGAAACAAATGTGGGAGTTTTGGTGTTTTTTTTTTTCTAAATGATGCTTTTCTTAGAAAAATTAACATCTAAGACAAAGACAAAAATCCCACCTCTTGAGACTACAGAAGCTTGCATCACGTGTTCTTTGCCCTTCATGCTAACCAGATGAAGCCAGAATCTACTTTTACCCGTTCCCAGTTGTCAGCTAAGGGTAGATTGCCTCCAAAGGTGGCTGCCAACAATTCCTCCCGTTCCTGTATGCACATACTGTTCCTTCCATCAAGAGAGGGAGTCTATTTCCTCTCCTCTTGAATCGGGGCTAGGCTTGTGATTTTTTTGACCAATAAAATGCGGCAGTATGACACTGATCCAGTTCCAGGTCCATCCCTTAAGCAAGTGCTCGCATGAGATTATTATGCTGTCAAGAAGCCCAAACTAGCTACATGTAGAGAACTCATTACGAGAACCAAGGCAATTTGGTCAAAAGTCCCAGCCCAGACTCCGGCTGAATGTGGCTCCATGGGTGACATCAAGCAAGACTACACAGACTATCCAGTCAACCCACAGAATCATGAGAAATAACAAATGACTAAGGTTTCAGCTTTGGAGTTGTTTGTTAAACAGCAGATAATTGAAACAGGGTCCTAGCTGAAACCGGTTTGGCTCAGTGGATAGAGCATTGGCCTATGGACTGAAAGGTCCCAGGTTCGATTCCGGTCAGGGCCATGTACATTGGTTACAGGCACATCCCCAGTGGGAATGTGCAGGAGGCAGCTGGTCGATGTTTCTAATTCCCTCTCTCTCTCCCTTCCTCTCTGTGAAAAATCAATAAAATATATATTTTTTTTAAAAGAAAGAAACAGGATCCTAGCAGAAGAGCACTCAGACACTCTCACCTGTTTCAAGATGGGGCCATTCTCCATCTGCGGCTGCTGATTGCTGTCACTTTTCCTGCCCAGTGATGGAGTTCTGTGACCTAGTGACCACAACGACAGCTCATTTCTCTTCTTGTCTGTATTTCATATCCTATTGTTGGGCCTCTAGTTGAGCCCCTCGTCTACAAGTGACTCCCCATCCAGGACAAGACAGGACCTTAGAGGCAGCTAAAAGGGAGTCAGGCTTCCTGAGTTCTATCTGTGATTCTGTTCACCTGTGACTGCCCACATCTATTACAGAAATAGAGATTAAGGTAAAGTGAGTGTTGAAAGACCCAAGATTCCTTCAAGAAACCTAAGGGGCAGCTATCTGGACAGCATATCAACAAAAGAGTCCCTAACTCTACCTTTTCAGTTTATGAATACTCCTCTGACCTTCTTGCACCATACCTAATGTACCCTTATTGGCTTCTGAAAATGAAACCGCCCCCACGCCCCCAAAAAAGCTCTAGTTTCACAATTCTTTTGCATCAGCTCTATCCCCAGCTAGTCCTGAAATGCACTGATTCTTCCCAGTAAACACTTCACCTGAGTCCTCCCAGTGCCCCAGGGTTGGAGAGTGAACTATCGGTTAAACAATTATTTTCACATTACAGTTGGTAGTGTCCAGGTTTAGGGGGATTCTTCCTCCCTCCTTTCTTCCCATTCTGCACTCATGTTGAGAAATGTCAGAGGGACAGGGGTAAGTATATCTTTCAGCTCAGACATAAAAAAATCCAAAAAAGATGAGATATGCATTCTATCACCAGCATGAACACTAGAGGAGAAAGATTGTCAAGAATCTGCTAACTGCCTCCTAGATGGGGTTAGATAATATGTTGGTCTCAACCTGAGGCTGCAGAGACTAACTTGTGGCAGAGGAAGCAGGGGGCCCTGGACTCTGATTCCTAAGAACTTTCTTGGGGCTTCAGTGAGGGCCCCGGATCTCTGCTCCTTCTCTTCAGTAATGTGGGCTTGCTCATCATCCTCAAACCACTCTGCCTTTTCTAAAGTAGGACCTGAGCAATGTCTCTGACTCATACTCATGGTCCTCTCTCAAATCCCATGAGAAGCAGACACCTGGCCCAGCTTGCTTAGTAAATATTGGATGGAAGAGTGACAGCCAAGCCAAAGGCAGGTTCCCAAATGACAAACACATTCAGCTTTTCCCTGGGATCTGTCACTCTCAACCCATAGTCCCCTCACCATAGCGTGGGTTCCCACAGTACCTAAAGATTTACGCACAGTGCTCTGGCTCCCTGGATCAGTCATGGATTTCTTTTTAGCCTCCTAAAACCCACATGAGGAAGAACTGAGTTAGAACTTTTAGAAGTGAAGAAAACTTTTCAAAAAGAGTCTAAAAGAAGAAAGTTAATATCCACAACCAAATAGGACCTTTGTATCTACAAAGTTCTACGAGCAGACAGAGTACAGGGAGAAGCCTGCATCTAATACATCCTGCCCGCTCCAGGCGGCACCCACTATCACAGTCCCAGCAAGTCCCAGGTGGCCCCTCCCTGCCAAAATACCGGTTTCTTAGTAGGTGTCTTCGACTTCTGCTGCTGGCTCTGCTGCTGCTTCCGAAGACCTGGAGGTCAGAGAACCAGCTCTATCCTCTCCTCCCTGAGAGCTTCCACCCTTCCCCTGAGCTGCTTGCTGTGCCCTGCTTTACAATGGTGACTCTCTCTCCCTGGTCAGGGCCAAGCCAAGGCCTGGGTAGTGGTGGTTGGCGGTGGTGGTGGTGGTGGTGGTGGTGGTGGTGGTGGTAGCTGCTGCTTCTTGAAATTGCAGTTTCCTGAGTCCTACATGTGTCCCTGTATGACTGGCCACAAACATAACTGAATTTGCTTGAGAACAAGTATGAGAATTGTGGGCTGAGGAGGAATGGTACCTGGAGATCTGGCAGCACTAGAAAGCCTATCTCTTATCTTCCGGTTATAACATAATTTCTTCAAATATTCAGGATATTTCAATGATGGTCTCTGGAGAGAAAAAGGAAAACATGGGTCTTTCCCCAAATGGATCCCCCAAATTTATTTATCTGTCTAATCCTCATGCAGTTTTTGAGAACCTGGTGTGTGCAGCATTGTGCCAGGGGCTCTGGAGAGGAGAAAGGTACAGAAAACGAAGTGCAAAAGAAATAGAGAACACTGCTCTTCTCACATCCCTCCCCAGACATTTGCTTTCACCTATATAGAGCCCAGCCCTTCTCTAGGGCTTGGGTCCAGAGTGGAAGGATAGAAGAGAAAACAGAAAACAAAAGTCAACTGTTCCAGCCTTGTAGGTGGATGAGTTTGGATTTGCATGTAGACATCTTGCTCTGAGGCTCCCTAACTCTTACTTGCAGGGTGAGGCGGTGCACAGATAAAAACATCTGACCAGAAATGGCGCTCTCAGGCTGGCTCTTTCCCAGAGGTTCCTTTATCCCCGTGGCCAACTGTGTCTTCGTTTCCAGACAAGGCGACCTTTCCCCTTCATCTAACAAAAGACTGAAGGGCACAGAGACAGTCAGGAAATCAGCAACAGCTTTCCTTGGAGACTATGGCTGAGGTGAAACAAGAAAAGGGCTCCAAATTTGAAGAAATGTCCACTTTTGGGTTGGAATGGTCTGTACCAACAGGTATTCATTCAATAACAGCTTTTAGGTGTAGCTATGATCATTATAACTATATGGATGAAGTGTTTACACTTTGTCAGGCTCATGCGCCTTAATTGGGCCTACTTCCAGTGGGGGGTTAAATGAGAGAACATATGTGATGTGCTTACTTGGCACAGGGCCTGGCAAACGGTAAGTACTGGATGTGGTGGTGAGTATGGTCACCACTGCATACCAGTCTAAGAACGCAGTGAACAAGTAGGGTGACAGTTTTCTCCCCTCCCTACTCAGAAAGAGCACACTGCTTGAGACCCTTCACAGCTTCAAGAAAAGCAGGTGCTCTCCCACAGGGTTAAATCATACTTACTCTTTCAGGAGATCCTGAGGTAATGTGTCAAATTGGTTCAAGAAAGATACGAATTCTGAATTTGGTGGCTCAAAAAATAGTTCTGGGGATGGGGGAGGCACAGTTATCCCTGAAGTGCTCAACTTTGCTTTTCTGTTCTGCTTTCTAGAGAGAACCACAGATGACTGAAAGAGAGACAATGGAAAGAAACCCCTGAAGCACTCTCATCAGTGCCACCCCTTCCCGCCCACCTTCCAGCCTCCCAACACAAACCCGGCACGTGAAACGCGTCAGCAGACCTGGTCCAGCAGCAACCCCCTCCCCAATCTGCACCTTAGGGGCCATCGCATTCTTCCCTCTCTGGCTCCCCAAACCTATTACTGAATTCAGATCATTTGGGGATTCATTGTTTTGTTTGTTTTTCCCAAAAAATGGTTATTTACTTATTCACTGAACAAACCCAACAAATATTTATTGGCAAACTATGTGGAGGCACAGGGCTAGGCCCAGATTCAGCACTGAACAAAATGGACCAAGGCATTATTCTCATGGACATAACAACCTTCTTGCTCTGTGACTTTTCAAGGCTACCTTCACCTAATAAATGGTAGAATCAGAAGTACAAATGCAGGCCAAAACTGTTTTTGGCTCAATGGATAGAGCGTCAGCCTGCGGACTCAAGCGTCCCGGGTTCAATTCTGGTCAAGGGCATGTACCTGGATTGCAGGTACATCCCCGATAGTAGATGGATGTTACTCTCTCATCGAGTTTCTAACTTTCTATCCCTCTCCCTCCTCTCTGTAAAAAATCAATAAAATATATATTAAAAAAAAGAAGAAGAAGAAGAAGTGCAAGCACAGACCCATTATAACTCCTAGGCCCCTGAATACCCAGCAGTTGCTCCTAACATCTCTTCAAGGTACTCTCCACCTTTCTGTATAGAGGAGTTATGGGAAATGAGTCTCTAAATACAAAATGATTTGGTAGTTATTTCTTGAGGGTTTCTTCTACAAATTTTTATTCATTTAAACAGAGAACAAGGGAAGCGAGAAGATATCTGAAAGGAAATGAACTCTACAAAGTAATATCATTAAAGCTTTAGCCAAAACGTCAAGCTTACCACTGTAGATATCTTTCTTTTTTTCTTCTTTCCATCCTGGCCTGGAGCAACATACTGCTTAGCTGGACTTGAAATAAGAATAACCAAAACGTATTTGTAGACATCTTAAACAAGAGCACCAAGGATATTTGTGAATGATGACTATAAAGATTTCTATAATCTATTCAGTATTCAAAGATGATCATTAGGAGCCCAGCAACTGCTAAAAAAAATACCTCCATTTAAATTAGGTTCCCCACCATTCTCTCACAATTCAGTTATTTACTTTTACAGCATTAATCCAATTAGCAATTATATGCCTAGAGTTGGTGATGTTTGTGTCTGAATGCCCACCCCATAAGACTACAGAAGGACAGGGGGCAAATCTATCTGGTTCTCCACTAAATTCTCACTGCTCAGGTATTTTTGTTCTGTTGTCTTCCTCTTCCTTTTTACCTGAACCATGGATATAATAACTGGATCCCTAGCCATCACACAGACCTTAAAATCCCCCATGCAGCATCTTAGAAGATGGAAGCATTGGATGAGGATGATGACCCAGAAAGCTAGAAGGAGCCAGGACCGGTTTGGCTCAGTGGATAGAGCGTTGGCCTATGGACTGAAGGGTCCCAGGTTCAATTCCGGTCAAGGGCATGTACCTTGGTTGCGGGCACATCCCCAGTGCGGGGTGTGCAAGAGGCAGCTGGTCGATGTTTCTCTCTCATCAACGTTTCTAACTCTCTGTCCCTCTCAATTCCTCTCTGTGTAAAATCAATAAAAAATATTAAAAAGAAAAAAGAAAGAAAGAAAGAAAGAAAGAAAGAAAGAAAGAAAGAAAGAAAGAAAGAAAGAAAGAAAGAAAGAAAAGAAAAGAAAAAAGAAAGAAAGAAAGCTAGAAGGAACTCTGGTTTCTGATTACCTCATGGACCTAACATACAAGCCTTGGCCCACCTACATCTGAGCTTCTTTCATATAAAATAATTTGAGCCCTTAGGTGTTTTTTGTTTGTTTACACCATATCCTAGTATATACACACAAAGAATGCATATGTAAAGAAGCATTTACAGGATCAATTTTTAAAAAAGAAAAAGAAATTCTTAAGTTTTATCATCTTTAAACAATCACTTAACAAGAATCTAAAAGCCTCAACAGTCACAAAAATAAAACATACTTCCTTCCAAAGATTTCAATATTAGCAAGGCTTCAGGCCTTTGCCAAGTAATCTTTGCCGTGCTCAGCTTTGTACACAAGCTTTATATGCTGGGCCTTGAAATTGAGACCAAAGATTCATGTGCTTCACTGGAAACTTTTTCACTGGTTGCCAATGGTTATAAGAATAACTAATAATCAGAAAGAATTTCTATCTTTTTTTTAATCCTCACCTGACAATATGCTTTTCATTGATTTTGGAGAGGAGAGGAGGAAATGGGAGTGGAGGAGAGGGGATGGAAGGAGAAGAAAAACATTGATGTGAGAGAGAAAAACATTGATGTGATGCCTTTCATATGCCCCAACCTGGAATCAAACCTGCAACCTGGGTATGGACCCTGACTGGGAACTGAAACCTCCATCTTTTCATGTATGGGACCAACTGAGTCACACTGACCAGGTCAAATGTTTGTTTCTTTTCTTTTCTTTTCTTTTCTTTTCTTTTCTTTTCTTTTCTTTTCTTTCTTTCTTTCTTTCTTTCTTTCTTTCTTTCTTTCTTTCTTTCTTTTCTTTCTGTCTTTCTTAATTGATTTTTACAGAGAGGAAGGGAGAGGAATAGAAAGTTAGAAACATCGATGAGAGAGAAACATTGATCAGCTGCCTCCTGCACACCCCCCACTGGAGATGTGCCCACAACCAACGCTCTATCCACTGAGCCAAACCGGTTTTGGCAAGCGTTTGTTTCTTAATCAAACCTCACAAATACATTGGGCCCTATCTTGTATGCTATTTACTGCCACCTAGAATTTGACGTAGAAAAATCCCAGGACACGAATCTCAAATTGCATTAAAATAGAATTTCAGTGTAGCAAGAGGCAGATGTAAGAGACGATGACCTTCTCTGCTTGGCCTCCTGCTACTTGCATGGAGGTTGCTACAAAGATCACAGAAAGGAGGCCTGCATAGAACAGGAGGGCTTGGTAGAATATAAGAGTTGAAGACCCCCTAAGTTCTAGAGAACTCACCTCACATTCGCCCCTGATTCTTTTGGGATCCAGACTACAATCATATTGCTAACATCTTGAGGACAAGGAATTTGTGTCTCATTCAAATTTAGCACTGGAAGCTAAGAGAAAAATATAAAGCCTATGTATGGTTTGAATATACCAGCTCCTGATGGCACTCAGTATAAGACCAAGAACTAAATTATCATATTAACCAAAAGAATACAGTGGCTCACAAGATAATAAATACAGTACTCCAATCCCAAAAACATCTTTATAATATCCCAAGAAACCAGGTATCAGTACAGGTCCTGTAAGAGTGCACATTTATAAGTGAACAGTGTCCCCGCCTTCCCTGTGACATGAGGGTGGCAACTCGCAACCCCATCTCATAGGAGGGTATCTTGGGGCTTACCTAAAGGAACACTACTCATTCTGGCCATTCCACTCCAAAGACTTAGGTCCTCTGGAGATGTTCTAATACAGTGTGGGAGCATGGAAGGAACTGACAGGGACAGGGCAAGTTTTATATTTTTAAAGCCTGTCTATTATTATAGGCATCTATATAAAAGTGAAAGTCTTAACTCTTTTCACATTTAGCTACTTAAGAGACTAGAACACTGATGATGCTCAAGGGAACCTTGTAAGTCATCTAGTACATATTCCTAGTATGAAAAAGGGGGTGGTTCAAAGCAAGGTTGTCCCCATGAAAAACCGATTGGCTCAGGGTAACAGAGGACACTTCTTTGTACTGTAAACCCTGTCCTGCCCTTCGGGTTTAGAACCATATACATGTATTATCTATTCAAACAATTAATTTAAAACTTATTTAATCTAACCCTGTTGTTCTGAAGTGGTCAAAGAGGTTAAGTGCTTTGTTCATTTATCCATTCAAACTTATCCTCCCCCCTTAGTTCCTTATAGTCTCCACCACATGACACTGAAAAGTGAAGTATCTCGCCGGGACTGGTTTGGCTCAGTAGATAAAGGAGACTGAAAGGTCCCAGGTTCGATTCCGGTCAAGAGCATGTACCTTGGTTGCGGGCACATCCCCAGTAGTGCAAGAGGCAGCTGATCGATGATTCTCTCTCAGCTGATCAATGATTCTCTCTCACTGATGTTTCTAACTCTCTGCCCCTCTCTCTTCCTCTCTGTGAAAAATCAATAAAAATAAAAAATAAAATAAAATATGCTGAGACCAGTTTGGGTCAGTGGATAGAGCGTCAGCCTGTGGACGGAAAGGTCGCGGGTTCGATTCCCGTCAAAGGCATATATCTTGGTTGCGGGTACATCCCCAGTAGGGGTGGTGCAGGAGGCAGCTGATTGATGATTCTCACTCATCAATGTTTCTAACTCTCTATCCCTTCTCTTCCTCTCTGTGAAAAATCAATAAAATATATTTTTAAAAATAAATAAAATAAAATAAAAAAGAAAAGTGAAGTATCTTATTAAAAAAAAAGGGGGGGGAGCAGGGGCATCAATAGGACTGCAAAGAATAGCAAATCTCTCTTATTGTAGATAAGTAAAAGGGATTCTCTTCCTAAACTTTAATTTAGTTCTGCCTCTACCTAGCTTTGTGCTTTAGCAAATCACTTCCTATCTGGGTCTTAGTTTCCTCAACTGAAAAATATATGAGATAGACCATAGTAATATTCTCCAAACTGTAATTGCAACTAATTCATAGGTCATCTAATCAAAACTGAGTGAATTGCAGCCTACATTGTTTAAAGATGAAATAGAATAGGACAAAAAATATCAGAGTATATCACCCTTATCGAGGGTAAGTAAGACTTGTTCCATCATATTTTTGTTGTAAAATGTACTATAGGTCATAGCTAAAAATGTTTGAAAGTCATCAGAGTAGATAATTGTAAGGCCCAATTTAGGTTTGCCATTCCGGCACCCTAATATCCTTGAATTATGAGATGACAGTGTTTACTTAGTAGCTAAACGCATTCTATATAGGACAAAGACAAAATTCTCACCTATGCCAAACTTCACAAATCAAACCCACTTGTCTCTGGAATTTCTGGAAGCAGCATAGCATGTGAAGCCATTAGCACAGAGCCCAGTATGTAGTAAGGGCCCAACGTTAGATAGTTATCATGATCATTATTCAGACTGCAGTCATCCCAAGGAACAATGCTAAAGAAGGAAATATTTTATGTTCATTAGTGAAGATGCAGAGGAAGTACCTTTTTCAATTTGTGACTTCCTTTGGGAGGTCTATTAGGATAGTTGATCAAATCTTTGTCAGGTAAATCCTTGTGAGACCTGAAAGTGAGAGTTTATGAACGTGAGACAGAGACACAAAGACTTCTTGGGATGATAAAATTAACACTATGAGGAAAAGCCTTCTACTTAGGTATAGAAAGCCTTGGACTGAATACTTACTGAATGAACGTAGGATCTTACCATCTCCTTAAGTTTTGTTTGTTTTTCCTTGCAGCCGCTCCCAAACAGACATTGAACATTGCAAACATTTTACAACTATTTGTTGGATCAAACTGAATGCATAGCCTATGCTCCTCTCTCTCCAACTATAGGTAGTTACGTCACCATTAATAAAGTTTATTAGCCGAAACCGGATTGGCTCAGTGGTAGAGCGTCGGTCTGCGGACTGAAGGGTCCCAGGTTCGATTCCGGTCAAGGGCATGTACATTGGTTGTGAGCACATCCCCAGTGGGGGGGGGGGGGGGGGGGCAGAGGCAGCTGGTCAATGTTTCTCTCTCATTGATGTTTCTAGCTCTCTATCTCTCTCCCTTCCTCTCTGTAAAAAATCTATAAAAATATAAAAAAATAAAAAATAAAAAATAAAGTTTATTAAATACCTTTGGTATTTATGTCCAAAAACATGTTAAATAAGTAAAATGTGGTACATACACACAAAAGAGTATTTTTTAAAGGAATGAAATTTTGATATATGCTATAACACAGATGAACCTTGAAAACATTGTACTATTAATAGATGAATAAGCCAGACACAAAAGGGCAAATATTGTCTGATTCTGCTTATATGAGGTACCTAGAATAGGTAAATTCATAGACAGAAAATACAATATAGATTATCAGGAGCTGGAGGGAGGAGGAAATGAGTACAGAGTTCCTGTCTGAAATAATGAACAAGTTCTAGAAATGGATAATGGTGATGGTTGTCAGTATGGTGAATGTACTTAATACTACTGAATTGTACATTTAAAAATAGTTAAAGTCATGTATATTTTATACAATAAAAAAATACATCCTCTTACATTTTCATATCACTTGCTACTTTATTTTTTTAACATGTTAAATGTATAAATGAGTACATATAAAATATAAGATAAAGACCCAACTATTTCGCCTGACTTATAAAGTCCTACACAATGTAGGCCCCTGCTTTTTACTCCCACTCCCCCATTGACCATCTCCCACTTCTGCTCTAGGTTCCAAACCCACTGGATTTTTTTCCCTGGTACCTAAATTTCCTCTTGCCTGCTGGATTAACATGTGCTATTTTCTGTAGTCTAGAACTCTCTTCCTGTCCTCCTAACAAAAATCCCCACTTCACTAAACTGCTCTAATTTCAGGTCTAAACCCAGGTGCTCCCTATCCAGAGGTCAACTGCCCGGGGTTAGGAATCTTTCCTGTGAGCTTCCACACAGATAGGGGGCACTCTTCTCACCACATTCACCGCAATCAATGGTTCTTTGCCTCCTCAAGAGGCTGAAGGCCCTTAACTATTCAAACACTGTATCCCGGTGCCCAGGAAAGTAGACCCCACCCTGATTTATCTGTGAACTTAATGACTGACTAAACAAATGATGCCACGGGCTTTGCCTTGACTGGGAGAAGCTGCTGTTTTCCCAGGGTTTGAGTCCTAGAGAACCTGAAAGGAGCCCTATCTTTTTCTTTTTCTTTTCTTTTTTTAATATATTTTATTGATTTTTTACAGAGAGGAAGGGAGAGATATAGAGAGCTAGAAATATCGATGAGAGAGAAACATTGATCAGCTGCCTTCTGCACACTCCCCACTGGGGATGTGCCCGCAACCAATGTGCATGCCCTTGACCGGAATCGAACCTGGGACCTTTCAGTCCGCAGACCGATGCTCTACCACTGAGCCAAACCGGTTTCGGCTATCCTTTTCTATATTATCTTCAGCCTAAGAAAAATCAAGAGCTGCTTAAATCGAACAGGAGATAAGAAATCACTACAAGGGCACTAGTGCTTTGATTCCAGGCAACAGGGGTCTTCACATTTTAAAAACCTAAGTTTTCCAGATACCTTTCCCTTAGCTTCATATATCAGCAAGCACTAGTTAAGTACCTAAACTTTGTAAGATATTCATAAGGAAAAGCCATTGCTTCTTCCTTCAGGAGCTTATAATTTCGTACCTAAAAATAAAAGCATGTGTGAACAGTTTTCTGATGACCCACAGAAGTTAATGAGGTATTCCCTGATATGGGCTGAATTGTGTCCCCCAAAATTCATTTGTACCTCAGATTTTGACTGTATTTGGAGTCAGGGTCTTTAAAAAGATAATTAAGGTAAAATGAGGAGATAGAGGTGGGCCCGCATCCAATATGACTGGTGTGCATATAGGAAGAGGATATCAGGACAGACACACAGACACAGGGAAGACCATGTTAAAACATAGGAAGAAGATGGCCATTTATAGCCAAGGAGAAAGGGCTCAGAAGAAAGCAGCTCTGCCAACACCTTAATCTTGAACTCCTAACCTCTAGAGTGTTAAGAAGATAAATTTCTGTTGGTTAAACCACTCAAGTCTGTGGTACTCTGTACATGTCACCCTAGCAAACTGCCCATTTTAAACAATTCCTAGAACACAAAAAAGAATGCTTTGTTTTTTTTCCTAGCTGGCATTGCTCAGTGGTTAAGTGTAGGCTTATGAACCAGTCAGGATTCAATTACTGGTCAGGGCACATGCCCAGGTTGTGGGCTCAATTCTCAGTGTGTGGCATGCAGGAGGCAACCAGTCAATGATTCTCTCTCAACACTGATGTTTCTATCTCTCTCCCTCTCCCTTCCTCTATTAAAAAAAAAAAAAAAATCCCTGACCAGTTTGGCTCAGTGATGGAGCGTCTGCCTGCAGACTGAAAGGTCCCAGATTTGATTCCGGTCAAGGGCATGTACCTTGGTTGCATGCACATCCCCGGTAGAAGGTGTGCAGGAGGCAGCTGATCAATGTTTCTAACTCTCTATCCCTCTCCCTTCCTCTCTGTAAAAAATCAATAAAATATTTAAAATATATATATATAATATATAATATATATTATATATTATATATATATATTATATATATATATTAAAGAATGCTTTGTTTTTGTTTCCCACTGCCTATTTACCACTTCTTTAGCTGAACTGGGGTTGTATTTTAAACCCAGCTTTCTCAAAATCTTCAACAAGGGTAAAGGAAATCAACCAGAAATTTGAGATAGCAAGCTCTTAAAGGTGGACTTCATGATAATTTACCTGCCTTGAAATTTGAAGTCAAACTTTGAACGCTGAGACGATGCATAGTGAGGCTTAGGGAAGGTAAGTCCTCGTAAATGACTGTGAGGACGTCTCCTGGCCTTGAAGCAGGTGTCTGAGAGGTTTACAATGGTGAGCACTGGGAGTTTGTCTGAGAAAACAAACAAGATGAAGACATGTGATATGTTAAAAAAAAAAAAAAAAAAAAAAAAGCCAAACAGAAATAGTTCAAAGATCTTGTAAGCGAGGAGACTGGCTGACTAACTCACCGTCAACATCCAGAGAAGTTTTGCAGGACGAGCCCAGGATTCGAGGGTGGCCCCTCTCAATGCGGCGGACAGTAGCCCAGCATTGTGGATGCTGACAAGCCACCAAGTTGCAAGTGGTTTCATCCCACTGGCTCTCATCTGCCAAGTCCATAGTTATAAAAGGCTTAGGATGGAAGTCAACCTTGTAGCTTTCTAGCCCTCTGGAGAAACAACCACATAATTAATGAGTATTATATACTAACCAGATCTTAATATGGAATCAAAGCATCAAATATTTCTACTGAACTCTTATAGGTCATAAGATAAGACTTGGGTAACAAATAAGTATGAAAATATATAGTGTGAAGTAAAGTAGCAAGAGTTTGAGAGCAGACTGACTTCAGAAGGTCTCCTAATCTATGCATATAAAAGGGTAATATGTTAATTAGACCGGGAGACCTTCCAGACATCCTTCGGACAAAGCCAGGGTGGTGGGGCCGAGGCAGAAGCGGTTAGGGGCCATCAGGCCAGAAGGGAAGGGCAGTTTGGGACAAGCAGGCTGGCGGAGGGTGAGGGGAGATTTTAGGGGCGAGCAGGCCAGCCGGCAGAGTGGATAGGCGCAATAAGGCAGGCAGGCAAGTGAGCAGTTAGGAGCCAGGGTTCCCAGATTGCAAAACGGATGTCCAACTGCCAGTTTAGGCTCGATCCCAAACCAGCAGTCGGACATCCCTTGAGGGGTCCCAGATTGAAGAGGGTGTAGGCTGAGCTGAGGTAAATGGTAGTCATAGGATAAGACTTGGGTAACAGGCCGCCTGCATGAATTTCGTCCACCGGGCCATTAGTTCACTAATAAAGGATTGGTTAATCTGAGCTTCAGTTTCCTCACCTGCAAAATGAGGACAAGTCATTACAAAAATTAGTTAATGGATTTTAAAAGGTCTGGCAGAGAGTTCAGCATCCTTCCCTTTTCCCCTTTATTAATCACTAGGGAAAGATATTGGCTTCTCCAAAAAGCCTTATCAAATTAAAAATATAGATAAGAAGTGCTTTAGGTGGCTCAAAACTTTGGAAGGCATGCTTCATTTTTCAATATGCCCCAATTCTCATACAGGCAGCTAAACTATGCACTGAAAAATTAATGGGTTTGCTCAAGCAGCAAATCAGTAAACTTAAACTTGTATCAGGGGCCACTGGCTTTTCATTTACTGTCTCTATGGTCATGGGAAAGTGATTTAAGCTCTTTTAGCCTGTTTCCTCATATAAAACAGGGGAGGGGAAATCCCTAAATAGGACTGTAGAAGCATTAAATGAGAAAATGTACTTTTACATGTGGTAATATAATAGGTGCTTAATGAATATTAACATCTCTCTCTAGAAATGTCTTATGCAATCACTACCACTTGGCCCATAGTAATTTTGTACGGAGACACTTCCCTTTACTCAACACATTTATTGACACCCAAATAGGTGAGGGAACCTGTTATAAGCATGGAGAACAAAATAAGTCCCTATTATAAAAGAGTTTTTAGACCAAAGACAGCAAAATATTAGCCAAAGATTGCACCTGGCCTATAACTTGTTTTGTTTAGCCTGTACTTTGAGCCATTATTTTAAATGGAAATAGTCCATAACGTCCAGATTTCTGGCTCATTTTAGAGATCAAAATATCTGACAATGCGGGCCCAATTCTAACAGGACAGCCATTTACTGAAGCCTAGCATTTCCTGACATCTTTAAGGCAAGTCTGTTCTATCCAAGTGGAGTTTTCCCACCAGACCCTACAGCTTCTCATTGAAGCCATTTCATTTGCCTTTTTAACCTCAAATTGCTGCAGCTTTTCTCACAATAGAGAAATATTTCTCTGTACTCATTATCAAAAGCAGGAAAACCAAAGGGTAACACGAGACGTTTCAAGAAGCATTAGTACTGAGTGGCAGTGAAGATAATCTCTGTGAACGTAATACAACCTAAAAAGATATGGTGATGTTTTTGACTGGGAAAGAAGCTCGACGAACAACTTCATGAACTAAAAAGCATATATACAATTTTTTAAGAGGGTTTGTTTGTTTTTAATGACAATGTGACGTTGCATTATTTTTGCATTAATCTGCGTTCGGAAATTCTCGGTAACAGTTATCCTTAATACTATTATTAACAAGTTGGGAGGAAGGGGGTGTAATTATTACGGACAGACATCAGCTCCGGTGAGAGTAGAAAAAGGATTCTCCGGTCCGCTCAGAAAATCGGAAGTGGGAGGTTCCGGCCATGGGGGCCCGCAGTTGCGAATAAAGCAAGCAGATGCCCGGGAAGACGTAGGCCTGTAAGCCCCTCCCACCAGGCCCCGCCTCCCCGCCTCAGTCGTTCCCCAGGCAACGCGCCACGCCTCGCCGGGCAGCAACGCACTGCACTATGGGGAAGAAACGGAAGCCCCAAGGAGCCGAACTTAATTTGGTGAGAAAGTTCCGAACATGGCGGTGACGTAAAGCAGACAGATGAGCTTGGGAAAGGACACCGGAGGTCGGTGGGGGCCGAACGGGAGCTAGGAGGGCAGGCACGATAGCGGCGTGGAACTACAGGCGCTCCGGCCACTGGAGGCGGAGGCGGGGCTGGTGGAGGAGGAGGAGGAGGAGGAGAGGAGGGGCGCGCGAGGCAGTATGGGACACAACCGGCAACGTGGAGCGGGACGGAAGCCTCCCGGGGTCAGACCGGGGCGACGCGGGAAGTCCAGACGCTGAAGCTGCCTGAAGAGGAGGCCTGAGACGCAGGTCCGGCCCCGGTGGCGGCAATGGCGGAGAGGCCCGAGGACCTGAACCTGCCCAATGCCGTTATTACCAGGATCATCAAGGAGGCGGTGAGCAGCTAGACTGGCGGGCGGGCCGGGGGCGGGCGAGCGGGCGGTGGGGGAAGCCGGACCTGAACCGGCAGCTTGGCTCACGACCCTGCCCTTCCCACAGCTCCCGGACGGTGTGAACATCTCCAAGGAGGCCCGGAGCGCCATCTCCCGCGCCGCCAGCGTCTTCGTGCTGTACGCCACATCCTGGTAAGGCGGGCAGAGCTAGCCGGACTTAGCTGGGACTGTGGCATAAGGGAGGCGCTAAGAGGACCCCTCCGAGTTCGTGGCTGGGAACCCACAAACCCCAGTAACTGTGTCCCTATCTCGTGGAGGAAGGTTCACAACCCTCGCCCAATTTTTGCAAATTATGAAACAGCAGAATAACTTTTGCTTTAACCCATTTTTACAGGGAAGTGGGACCGGGCGGGGGATAAAGGGGGCTGTTACCTTATCACAAAAATCTGTGCATCAAAGATGTGGACATTCCCATTCCCCTCTGGGTGCTCCTTTTTCCACATCCACAGTCGGCAGCAGAGGGTCTGACAGCCTCCAATCCTTCCTCTTTCCATGTTTCAGTGCCAACAACTTCGCGATGAAAGGCAAACGCAAGACACTGAATGCCAGTGATGTGCTCTCGGCCATGGAGGAAATGGAGTTCCAGCGCTTCGTTACCCCGTTAAAGGAAGCTCTGGAAGGTAATGACCTTTTTGTTTTCTCAGCCAAGTAGATGCTTGGTCCTGTGTGACCCACTCACCTGGTCCTATATCTTTCTCAGCTTGGGTCCCTTTAAGCCCAGGAGGCAAATGTGAGATGTGACTGAGAAACAGGTCAGTTAGCGCTGCCTGGGGTCTGTTTTGTCATTCTTGGCAGCTTATGTTTCCTCTGTGCCCAGCTTTCCCAGCTACACGTTCCCAGTGAAATGAGCTGCTGCAGTCTGCGTGGCTCAGCCGTGCTCCCTAACCCCCTCCTTCCTCCTCACAGCTTATCGGAGGGAGCAGAAAGGCAAAAAGGAAGCGTCGGAGCAGAAGAAGAAGGACAAAGACAGAAAAGCAGATTCAGAAGAGCAAGACAAGAGTAGAGATGAGGAAATTGATGAAGATGAGGAGCGGCTGGAAGAAGAAGAACAGAATGAAGAGGAGGAAGTGGACAACTGAATGGGGTGAGGAGCCTGGCACCGTGGAAGGTACCGCTCCGAAATGCAGTCTAGGTTTATGTGACGCCTTTTCCTACCGGGCAGAGCCGCCTTAGGCAAAAGAGCCGAGAAGATCAAAACTGAAATCTGGCTAGAAGTAGCAAAACCAGCGCTTCCCAGACTCAGAGCATCTGAGCAGCAGAGTCCTGTTTTGCTTAATCAGTCTGAAGGCTATGACTTATTTTTGGCAAGAGGGATTCTGAACTGATCATTTAATCAGCCGATATGATCTCATTTACTTGTGTATATGATTAGACCGTTTTTGATTCCCAGTTCCTTCCCACCCCCACTAAAAAATAGTAACTTCCATGCCACCTGGGTTCCAGATCACAGGAGGCAGCCAGAGCTCAGGAAAAATTGGGGCTTAGATCATGGTCAGCCTGTTTGTATAGTGTTTGGCAATACTGGCTTATTACAGTGATCACGGTGGTTTAGTTTTAGGAAACGGCCAAAAGGCTGTGGAAGAACAATGAAATCTGTGGTCCCTTCACTTGACGGTAACATTTATTTTGGTTTCTACCAACCCACTTGGCTTGGGGCCCCAATGTATTGCCTGTGGGCATTTGACCTGTTAGGTGGCTGCACTCTGCACACAGGCTTGTTAAGTCCTCAGTATAGAGGGAACTTAGTCAAGCAACTTTGCCAATGTCTCGCTCTTACCAAACAGATGGTTTAGTCTTCGATGCACCTCACTGTCTGCCACTGCACAACTTTAGAATCTGTTGTCACCTCCTGGGAGGTATAAAATCCCAGCTTTCTCTTCTTGTAGTCCATCTCCCAGACTTGTGACTACAGCTTTTCGTTCTTCCAATTCACGTCAAGTTCCAAACTGTATTTCTTCTAGGCACAACTTTCGCCTGTGCGTCTCGCTTCCTGCCTCTCCTCTGCTCCCCATCCCATTTTCTCCCTCTTCTCCCTCTGCCAGGCCAGAAACTTGGATAACCTAATCTCATATCTTTTATTTCTCTCTTTTCTTTTGTCTTTATTTTTTTGTGTGTGTGTGGTTTCTTTTTTTTTTTTTTTTTTTTAATCTCATGTCTTTTAAAAATTGTTTTGTAAACCTCTGAAATTTAAAGGAAATCTGATGGTGCTCAGGAATCTAATCCTCTCCCACCCCTGTCTCGGCCTCTCCTTCCTCCCCACCCCCCTCCAGCCTTTTAACTGCTTCTAAAGTACCTCTGTTGACCTTTCTTAGGTTTGGGGAGTTTTTTCTCTTTTCATTTAGTGCTCCAAGCACTTTTTTGCTTGTCTCTAAGGCAGCTGACAGGTAGTGAAGTGTAGTTTGACACTGTTAATTTGTTAAATTAAAACAGTGAAATTTTTGTTGATAAATGAGTAAAGAATGTTGAGAAGATTATAATGCTTTGTACAAATAAAGAACACTCTTGTTAAACGTGATGACTCCTGCTTGTTTGTGGTATGCTTTGGGGGCATGCCTCCTGCCTGGTGCCTTACACAGGTTCGGGCTGTGGACTGGGCCAGACCTTCGTAAACAGGGGATGCTTCATTGCCTTGGATGACCAGCAGATGCTGCTCGTTCACAGCCAGGGAGCTGCTCTTCAGCCACTGCAAAAGCTTTCCATGCTCCGCTGGACTGACACCCTTTTCATCAGCGGTTCCCAACATGGGGCACAGGCCCCACAGGGGGGCGATCTGATTTTTAAAGGGGGCAATTTGAGAATGAGTTATTTATTAACAGTGACTTTTTGGCGTTTCTTATGGTTCTAGGGGCCTCATATACGGTATATAAATATATATTGTGACATTTATGCATTTCAGTTCTATTTGTTTTGAAACTTTATTTGCTATTTTTTATATCACTTCATGTTACTATTTTATTTTTTTTAACTTCTTAACAGTATTTCAACTGTCCTTTCGTTCTTTATTTTTCTTTCATGGATGCCATGTTCTTTGGAAGCTTGTTTAGACCAAGTGAAAGACCTTTTAGGCTTCCTCCACATGAATAGGAGTTCACTTTTTGAATAATAAGAATTATATGTCACGGTGGGGGGGGGTGGGCATCAGGATTTTAGAGATGTTTAGGTGGGGCATGGCCAAACAAGTTTGGGAACCACTGCTTTACATAACAGATGCTTACCAACTCCAAAACCAAACGTTTTATTGAGTGCTGTGTGTCTGGTGTTGTATTACCTAATCTACATAGCTTTCTCAAATCATGAATTTATAAATAATATTTCACAGAGACAACCCCAAAAGTCATTAGATCCAGTGTGTGTGTTTTTTTCCTTCTCCACAGCAGAAATATCATTTATTAATTCCCCTGAGCACCACTTGGCTAAGCCCTCAAGTCCCATCTGGACTCCTGTGACTTCCTGTGAGTTCCGTTTCCTGCCTCGTCTCAGCCTCCCCTAACTTCCCCTGTGTACTGCTTGCCAAGTGGCTCTTCCCAGGACATTGCTATTACAATCGCTTGATGTTTCCTATTAAATCCATACTGAAATGTTATTTCATAGCCTGCTTAAAGAAGACTCGCCTTACCATCTGTTCTAATCTGCTTCTACTCCAACAGCTGGCCGCAGTTAAGAATGAATCCCCAAAAGAACCCCACTTCCACATGGCTTTAGTTCTTACCAAACTTTACCTAAGAAAAGTCATGTTTCCTGAGAGTAGGGACTATGACTTCAAACTAGAATGTAAGCACTGGGAAGAATACTTGAGGTAATCCATCAGTTTTTCTCATCTCTACATTCTAAAAGATGCAGATAAATTTAGAGGTTGATGAATTTTCACAAACTGAGTACATCCATATAACATACTTAGATCAATAAACATGACCAGCACCCTAAAAAAAAAAAAAAAAAAAAAAAAGCCCCTTTGGTCTCCCAGTCAATCCTTATCTCCCCAGTAGTAATAGCTATACTGACTTACAACAGTAAGCTCTTCCAGTCAAAAACAAGAGACACATGGGAAAAATAGATTACACTAACAGCAGCATTTTAAAATGTCCACCCTGTTTGGACCATCTAGAGGCAGATGGTCCTAACTATTTTTAGTTATCAATAAACTCAGATGAAACAAGTATCATGAAAGACATTGGGCAGGGGGTCTAAATTAAGGGGGGAGGGGACAGTCATTTTCCCTGTGAGTTGAGTATGTTTAGCAGTCATTGCAAAGTAAGCTGTGTGCAATGGGTCAAAATTTTTAATCTCCCTGGAAAGTTTTCCCAATCTGTAAAATGAGGATAGTAACTGTTTTACATTCAGATAAGTGAATGTAAAATGTATGGTACTGTTTCTGACTAATGCACACACACACACACACAAAAAAAGACACACACTACATCCTGTCAGCTGGCCGAAAATGAATCAGGAGGCTTTGCTAAAATAAATTTTTATTCAAGTGTCTAGGTTTTCAAACCTGAAATACAACTAAGCACTATACCGAGTTTTGCCCTGGGGCACATACCCAGGTTTCCAGTAAGTCCAGTTGCAAAGGATCTCTCTCTTCCTCTTCTCCACCCGCCACAAATCAATTTAAAAACCAAAAACGAGTTTTTCAAGTAAAAAGCACATTTTTTAAAGAAGAGTCAGACCTGCATTCTTATCCTCTGTATAGGTCCAAGATAGTGATCTTCCACGTCTGGTTTATTAACTGAGTTGCTCAGATGGTTATCTATGGAGCTCATGTATGTCCAGTCATAGATGCGCTACTGAAAAGTTTTAAGTTCCTGGGGGAGGTGATAGGTCAACCGAAGGACTTGTATACATGCATATAAGTACAACCAATAGACACAAAACTCTGGGGAGGGAGGGGATGTATGGGAGAGGGGTGACAATGTTAAAATATGTACACATGATAACTAAATAAATAAATAAATAAATAAATAAATAAATAAAAAGAAAGAAAAGTTTAAGTTCCCAGGCTAGTTAGCAAAAATAGAATCATTTCCTTATGCCTCGGCCTACTTGATTTTAAATAATTTAGCAGCTTGACCACACTGATCCCATTTTACTTCTTCACTCTTCCTCATTCCTTTCTACCACCTTCCTTGTTTGAACACAAATCAGAACTGGGAACTAAACAATGTCCTATTTCCTTAGCATTAAGCCTCTCTATCTCCTTAGCTTGAAGTATAAAACAGGTTTGGGCTACAGATTATGAGAAACAAATTTTGAGTATCAGTATAGTACAATCCACTGGCATGTTCACGATTCAGAGTTAGCCTTTCTATAATCCCTGATTCGCCTCTAGAAAAGCATTCCTTTGCTGGGGTATTGGTCCCACAAAGCCTCAGTGGATTCCCAGTTCCTGTGCATGCACTCTATCCCAACTCCCCCCCACGCCCCGCTGTACTCATCCTAACGCCTAAAATGCCCGTCATTCAAACCACATCCCCCAAACCTTGACACAGAGTGGACCCTCGGCAACTACGATGGATTAAATTTTCTCTTAAAACTTGGAAGGCAGCCTGGTGTGAAATTTTTAAAAATAATAATAATAATAATAATAAAATCTTTAAGCCGAAACCAGTTTGGTTCCGCGGTAGAGCGTTGGTCTGCGGATTGAAAGGTCCCAGGTTCGATTCCGGTCAAGGGCATGTATCTTGGTTGCGGGCACATCCCCGGTAGGGGGTGTGCAAGAGGCAGCTGGTTGATGTTTCTCATTGACGTTTCTAGCTCTCTATCCCTCTCTCCCCCTCTCTGTAAAAAATCAATAAAATATATATTTTTAAAAAATCTTTAAAATGCTCAGTCCGGAAAAAAAAAAATGAACTTAGCGATTGTGTCGGGCATTACGGTGTTGTTTTAACGTCCTTGACGTCCCACTATTTCAACACATAAATAACCAGCGCCAAGGAGGCCGTACAAGGGGAAGACGAGGGCTGTCGAGAGACCCTCGGGGCTGTAAGAGCTTAAGAGAAAGAAAGGTGCACACGCCCAGACCCCGGTGCCTCTCCCGCGCCGCCCCGCAGCCTCCCCGCCCCCGCCCCCGGGCCTGGCC